AAAAAAAAAAAAAAAAAAGAAAAAAAAAGAATCAATCAACTCCTTAATATTTTTCCAATTGTACATTTTAGAATTTGGAAAAAGCTATTTTCTTTCATATACATGAATAAAGCTTTCATTATGTGGGGACATAGCAGCAAAGACTGATGCAGAGAAGATGAAGAAAAAGTGAAACTCACAAAGGTTTCTCCAAGGCCTAATAATTTTTACATTAAACAGCAACAGGGGTTGAAATCTGTATTTCACCTATGAAATCTTTTTTAAAATTTTATTTATTTTTCTTTTTTAGAGACAGAGCCTCAAGCTGTCACCCTGGGTAGAGTGCCGTGGCATCACAGCTCACAGCAACCTCCAACTCCTGGGCTTATTAGTGATTCTCTTGCCTCAGCCTCCCAAGTAGCTGGGACTACAGGTGCCTCTGCCATAATGCCCGGCTAATTTTTTGGTTATAGGTGTTACTGTTTGGCAGGTCCAGGCTGGATTTGAACCCACCAGCTCTGGTGTATGTGGCTGGCACCTCTGCCGCTTGAGCTATGAGCCTCACCTATGAATTCTTTACTAAGAATGTCAAAGTAATGCAGTTAACTTTTCAGAAACATTTTCCAGCTACCACAACGTCTGTGTGGGGTAGGGGAGAAAGATGGGACAGTGAGCCTAAAGGAGACCTCCTGGGTGGGTCACGCCACGCTGCCTGGGAGAATCTGCAGCTCCACGAGACAGACACAAAGGCAGGTGCTCTTTCATGAGCCACTGCCGGAGGATCAAAGGCACCTCTAGTCTCTGCTGATGCACTCCCAGCACCCCACTCACTCTCTCATGGTCTCCTGAAGTGGGTCAGACACCCACTTCACATTAACACACAGCTGTAGCTGGGAGGGAATCTCAGAGGCACAGACACATGCTTAGATTTCAGGCAAGCGTCACACTTGCATGGTATTCATATTAATCTTCCTTTAGACTCTTCTAGATCCTTCTACTTCCTTCTGTTCACTCCAACCAGCATGCCTCTCTCCCTGATGCCCAGTCCAGATTTTGAGTGCAGCCTCACTTTCTCCCCAACTCATACAAGGCTGAACTATCCTGCAGCTAGTGGAAAATCATTTTCTCTTTAAGCCTGGGGTTCAAGCCCTCCTTGCCCAAAGATACTTCTTGGCTCTCTGCCTGTCAGGACCCTGGCAGGGCCTCTCTACACTTGGAGCCAGACATCCTCTTCTCACCCCACTGCAGAAGGACGATCTTCTTCTTAAGCCCATTTACCAGCTCCACAGGGCCACCACTCGGGATCACCACTGAAGGCACCAGTTGTATGAGTCCCCTCACCTCGGTCATACACACACACAAATAGACATATTCTTTCCAAGGGAAAATGAAACAGGAAAAGAGCCAATGACCACTTTCAGATTTAGGAAAAGAGAACAACAATTTAACTACAGTTCAACTCCACTACTTTTCCATTTGTTTAGCCTGTGGAAGGACACTAGCAAATCTATGTATCACCCAAGAGAGATCTTTCATAAGGATATTTGTCTCAAACTCAGTCTAAATTTAGGAGAATCGTAACAGAGAAGGAAGCACAGATGGTAATGTAATGTTGTGGTGATGTACCCACTACGATCAAGGCCAATATCTTCCAAATTTTTGTAGTCTCCATCCTACCAGTGAGATGACTGTGATATGTGTGGGAAGATACCACTTCCCCGTATTAACCTGCGCAGTTACTCAGCACCCACCCTTACTGACTCAGAGCACAGACAAGTAATGTTTAGAGATCTACACACACAGGCATCCAATCTTCCTTCCACAGTCTCCCCTCCAACTTTACCATGGCTATCACGCACACACCCTCTTCTCCATTAGCAGCTAAAAGCAATGTAATGAAAGAGACATTAAATAGGTAACAGACTTTGAGTGACAAGCAGTAAACTTAATCCCTTCTAGTACCACCTTGCTACTAAACTTGATTCATGTGCATGGACTAGATCAGCTGTACTAGATCTACGGCAGTGCCTGGCACACCCCAAGTGATTATTAAAGTTTGTTAACTTGGAAAACAGGCTGTCAGACGTGTTCTCAGAGCTAAATCCTGTGTTGCCGCCCATTTCCTCTTCTTCTTAGCACAAACCAAAAATAATTTCTAGGACAAGAATATCCAAGATTGATCAAAATGGATCTGAACAAGAATCCAGAGCCATAGGCTGGATGCAGTGGCTCACGCCTGTAATCCACTCAGGAGTTCAAGATTAGCCTGAGTAAGAGCAGACTTCAAGACTCTTGTCTCTAAAAATAGCTGGGTGCTATGGTAGGAGCCATTAGTCCCAGCTAGCTGGGAGGCTGAGGCAAGACAATCACTTGAGCCCAAGAGTTTGAAGCTGCTGTGAGCTATGATGCCATAGCACTCTACCAAGAGTATCAAAGTGAGACTATCTTTAAAAAAAAAAAAAAAAGAATCCAGAGCCTGTGGACAATTCTGGAATGGGGGGAAGCTGACAGCTGTCTGCATGGCACTTCTGATTCATTCCCTCTGACCAGAGGCTGTTTATAGCCATACTCTCTCTCCAGAGAAAACCACCCTCCCCTCAGAATCTATCTCATTGTCAACAATAGAACTGACAGGCAGTCTCAAGGCTACAGGAAAATAGGGAGAAACTCCTCCTTACTGTAATGTTCAGACTCTCTGTTTCCAAAAATAAGAAATTAGGAGGCTCTAGATATCATTTAACTCATAACAAATTCATAGCACTGAAAAAATCAGTGAAGATCTGAATTATAAAAGGATTTTTACTCCATTATTTTTCCAGCTTCTTTCCCAGAATAGAAACTTTAATTATCTTTGATTTTCATTTTAAATCATTTTAATTATCCTTAATTTCATCCTCCGATATTGAATATGAACAGAATCCGCTTGGTTCTTGAAGTGCCTCTGGAATTAGTCCTTTTATTCTACTTCCATTCTGCTACCAGGTTCTGACCATCACGTCTCAGGATACAGCCTCTTAATGTGGATTTCTTGTTAAGAATCTCATTTTACTCCAACCCCCCCGTAGGGGCACAAACTCTTAGCAGAGCACATCAGAATCATCTGCGGGTTCCTCTCCCACTTGCACAGCTGCCTTGTAACCATTCAAAATACCTTGTTCTACCACAGATTACCGCTCCCTGGAACTTGTGAGATCACTCACTGCCACCCAGTGAGCTGGGTTAGAGAAAGAATCAAAAAGAACACTAATCTTTCCTGGCCTCTTTCCACTAACTTTCTGTTCTTCTCTGCTGCCTAACATATAACCCCTTCCACCACTGGGTAGACATGTTCACTGCCTGACACAAAAAACCCCCACAAAAATAATAAAAAGAAATTTCTTTAGACAAAAGAATCTAAAGGACCAAGTCACACGTATCTGTGTAAGTGTGCCTCTTAGAAGAGAGTGTGTCCACTGACAGAAAGCCTTCCCAGGCTCCTCTGCACTAACCTTATGTCTCCCACGAAAGACATTTGCAGTTGCTCCTTGGCCTAAAATATCAGACAGAAGCCACAGATGATTAGGAGTGCTCTGCATCTTCGGCTTGGTCAGGCGACTCTCTTGTTATCCTAAGAGAAAAAAGATTTGCACATACTTTTTTAGGGGATGATATAGTTAAAAAATAATTGTTATCTATTTTTAGTCTCAAATAGGATTACTCATTGTTAAATCTGAAGATATATACAAGTCCAATGTAAAAATCTAAGTTTCTAGCAACATAAAAGGCTAAAATGCTGTGTGGGTTTTCAAAAAAAAAAAAAACACAAAACAACAGCCAATGACATTGCACATACTCAATTTCATTCCCTTGTCATAAAGGCTGAAACATCTATGTCCCTATTAATTCCATCTCTTGTCAATGAGAGTGATATTGGCTACTTACCTCCTTCCAATGTTTCCAAAGACTAATTAATGATAAATTATATTTAAAAATGTTTTAAAACAAAGAAAAGTAATAATGTAAAATATAACAGAAATACAGAAAAAACACTTAGTCTCCTTTATGGGCAGGGCAACACAAATGAAAACTGTTGCCACGCATGATCTTTCTATAATCTAAAATTTCATCTACACAGAGCCTGACAGCCATACTGGAAAGGTGCAAAAATTATCATGCCGAGGGGGAAGTCTAAAATTGATTATAGAATAGTTTCTCCGAGGGTCGGTGGCTCATGCCTGTAATCCCAGCATTCTGGGAAGCTGAGGCAGGTGGGCTGCCTGAGCTGATGGGTTCAAGACCAGCCTAAACAAGACTGAGACCCTGTTTCTAAAAATAGCTAGGCCTTATGGCCTACACCTGTAGTCCCAGTTGTTTGGGAGGCTGAGGCAAGAGAATTGCTTGAGCCCAAGAGTTTGAGGTTGCTGTGAGCTGTGATGCCACTGCACTCTACTAAGGGCGACATAATGAGACTCTGTCTCAAAGAAAGTTTCTCCAATCTCTCAGCACATGCATAAAAATAAAAACACACCAAGTGGTCTATACCACCAAGTCTTAAAACATAAGCATCATCACAAGACTTGCCCTTTAGTAATGAAAAACTCTGGATCTATAAAGATTAAAAATATTTGCACTCCACGTTAGAATAAAATGAGGTATACTAACAAAGCATGAACACTAGTCATACCAGGTCCCCTTAAATCTGCTGTAACCTCAGATCAAAACACAGATTTTATTGCCTGGATGGTTCACAACCAACAAACAAAACAAAAATTATAGATTTTACTACCCTTTCACAGTACGTTAGCATAAAAAGCAGTATGTAAGCTGCACTAAGCATTCTGTGAATTAATGACTGTCAGTATTCCAAGTAGCTTCAACAACACACAAGAATGGACAGGGTAGGGTTTAACTTTGACATACTAGGGTATCTTTCTTTTTTTTTTAAAGCCTCAAGCTGTCGCCCTGGGTAGAGTGCCTTGGCATCACAGCTCACAGCAACCTCCAACTCTTGGGCTAAAGCAATTCTCTTGCCTCAGACTCCCAAGTAGCTGAGACTACAGGGGCCCACCACAACACCCGGCTATTTTTTGTTGCAGTTGTTACTGTTGTTTAGCTGGCCTGGTCCGGGTTTGAATCTGCCAGCCTCTGTGTATGCCGCTGGCACAATAACCGGCCTCTGCGCTATGGGTGCCGAGGCTGTCCTAGGGTATCTTTACATAACTTTACCACCCATCTAATTCAGGTAAGTAATTTTATATATAGCAAATCTGTGGAAATAAGAAGTAAAAATAAGATTTCCTTTGCACGAGTCAGAATACCATTTGTCCCTCGTTGCATTCCATTCAGGAGGTGGTAATACACTTGCCGAGTGTCTTAATGAAAAACCTCTCCTATTTAATGTAACTTTGCTGTTTCAGATAACTGTAAGTGGCGCATACTACCAATTACAGTCTCTCTGTGCAGACACAGAGGTGGCTTCAGAATAGTGATCACAGCGGTGGGCAGGGGAAACGTCTTTTGAAACTGTCTCCCCACAGTCGCTGCGCGCAGAAACATGACTCAGCACAGCGCCAGGCGCCCGCTACGAAATCTTCCAGTTTTTCACAAGCGTCCAAGCAACACTCAACAAGTACGTTGCGGCCGACGCTGTCGCAGGTCTACTTCCTCGCACCATCCAAAAAGAGTTGCCCTCTGTTCCGGGTGAAAACACGCTGGTGACATGGCAGTGGACAAAGTTCCAGGACTTGTGAACTCTGCTACTTCTATGACCATTTATTAGATAGCTGCATTAGGGGCTCCGGAGTGAAAAAGGGCGGTCTTTGGTTGTACACTTGACGGCTTCAGGGAGAAGTTGTTTTGCCACCCCCCGCTAGGCATCCCCGAGATGCGGACAGAACACGAGCTGCGCGCCAGGCTGAGCCGAGCGCGGGCAGCCGGGGACCCGCCGAGCCGGCCGGCGGCGCCTCACCGGGCTCCAACGACGCGCCCGTTCAGCCTCCGGAAAACCGACCTTTCCGAGACCGCGACCAGACGCCAGGCGGGGCCGGGCCGGGACCCCGAGCGGCGCCCCGCCCGCCCCCCATGCCGGTCCTCTGCGCGCCCGCGGGCCCCGGGCGGCCCGGCGAGGAGGCCAGGCGGGGCCCTGGCGTCCACTCCGCCCGTCCCGGCCCCCGGGGAGCGGCGTCCGCGCAGCGGGGTCGACGCGGCCCGGTCCCAGGTGGCGCGGACCCTTCGGCCGCCCCGGTCCTGGCCCAGCGTCCGGCCGCCCCGGGGGCGCGCGAGGCCCGATCGCCCGACCCCACGGCCGCAGCGCCCGCCGCTCTCACCAGCCGGTCCCCGACGCGCCACCGCCACGGCCCCGCGGCCTCCTCGAGCCAGGCCACTTCCTGCTCCGCGAGCCCTGGCCGGGGCCCACGTGACCCGCGGCCCGCGCGCGGGTGAGCGTGCGCGTGCGCACTGCTGCCGCGGCCCGTCCGGTTGCCCAGCGCGTCGCGGCCGCACCGCGGGGACGGGGTGACGCGAGGGCTGGTGCGTCTGAGAGCCGCCTCGCCCGCCGGCTCCGCCCGCCGGCTCCGACCTCCGCCGTGCAGATCCCGCAGCAGCCAGCCCCGCGCGGCAGAGGGCGGGCGCGGGAGGCGGGAAGTGCGACTCCCGGCGGCTCCTCGCGGCCGCATCGCGGTCCCTCCGGGGGGCACACGTGTGGCTCGTAACCCAGATGCGCGGCGTTCCAGCCTTTTGGAAAATGGCAATACCGAGAGCGCAAGCACAAAAGAAAGTGAGAGCTGCGACTTGAACCCCGAGGGCGGGTCCTGTCCCCGACACGGGCCCTGACCTCTCCGGACGCGGAGGCAGGCGCTCCCGATGGCCGAGCTCCGAGCGGGGAACGCGGGGCGGGGCCGGACAGCTGTGCCTGGACGTGGGCCCTGCCCTCCCAGCCACCGCGGAGTTTAAGCCTGGGTTTTATCAAACGTACGACAGACGTAACTAAAGTCCACGCTGATGAAACTTTACAAAGGAAATTACTTTATTAGCATTTTAAACAATGTTTTAAGTGATGAAATCATTCTAGCAAATCTATTCACCGCTTACAATTCCGACCAGTTTCGTTTCTCAGACATCTAATGACAAGAGCGAAGACCTGTCAAGAGTTCCCTCCCACAGTGAAACCTGCCCTTGCTGTTGGAGAAAATGTGATTAACTGATTAACTGTCACCACATAATGTCCATGCCACACAGCATTTATTTTTTTTGAGACAGTGTCTCTGTGTCCTGGTCAGAGTGCGGTGGCGTCACCCTATTCACAGCAACCTCAAATTCCTGGGCTCATGTAATCCTCATGCCTCAGTCTCCCAGAATAGCTGGGACCACAGGCGCCCCCACAACGCCTGGCTAGTTTTAGAGACGCGGTCTCGCTCTGGCTCAGGCTGGTCTTGAACTCGCCTGCTCCTCCCAGAGTGTTGGGATTACAGGCGTGAGCCACTGGGCCGGCCTACTTTCTTAAGAGGTCAAGCCGCTTCAAAACCCATGAATGACTAGATGAGGCATCACAAAACTCTGCAGCTCCACTGGCAAGTCGCACAGCTTCCTGCATTTAGCCAGCCGCAGGATACAATTATTTGGGGCGCCTGCTTTCAGAAATAAGGTAATTCATGATGGAAGAGTTTCCTGACTGATGGTTCTCTGGGCAACTTCCAAGGAATTAAGACGGGAATTATTATTCATCATCGTATAAGTTGTTTAGTTTCTATTCTTAATTTCCATGCCTTGATTTCTCTCTGTTCTAACCATATGTGCGTCTTCTGATGTGCTTTAAGGAACTAGGGAAAACACCTTTCCATATATGGAACTAATAGTTACACATGCTAATACCGAGACTTTATGTGCCAGCTACTGGAACCCTTTTCCTGTTTAACTCATCGGGTTCTTAGTCACATATGAGTCACTATACCATTAGCTCTCCCATTTTACAGACAGGAAAACCAAGACCAGGAAGGTTTGATGTTAACTTTCCCAAGACTGTAAAACCAGTTCCTGTGTGAGCACTGGTATTTGGAGCTAGTGAATCCAGGTCTAACTATGTAAACTCACATCAGCTATGCTGCTCACTGTCCTATGAGCAGTTACTGCCACTGCAGTACACGCAGGGGAGCCTATCAAAGAAACACCCAGCTTTCACTTATGTACTTATAAAAACATTTTTATTGACGTACAATATACATTCCACTTATCTGTTTTTACAATTAACTTAATTTGATGAAATACTTTTATTCCATGATGTAAGAAAAACACTTAAATTTTTTTCGGGAATTAAACCCAGATAAAGATTCCTGTGCAAAATTCAGAACACAATTTTAGGGAGTTTGTAGGCTACTGAAGGCCATTCATGAAACCCTTAGGAGAGGCACTGGCCAAACGGTAAAACCAATCAACCCTTCCTGAAAACATTAATTGGGTTTTTGGAATTTAAACTTAAATGTCTGTAGTAATTCTGCTTCTCAGTTTTGTCCCTCCTCTCAGAATTTTCCAGTGCTACTACTGCTAAAATTATTTGCCCTTTTGCTTTCGTAAGTTTAAATGTGGAAGGCATTAGGCGTAATTACTTGTAGTAACTAAATGGTCAGCTACCATTTATCAAAAACACACAGGTACCCTGTGCTATAAGTACATCCAATAAAAGAATTAGGAAAAGAATTGGGATTTTAATTCTATCAACAGATTCCCATAGGTGTTTTCTAATCCACTGTAAAAAGACCCTTAACTAACAACTGAGAACTACATGTAACTCTTTAGGGACATAATCAAATGAAATAAAGTAGGCACACTCATATTTGCAAACCTTTAAATGGGACATCAAGGAGAGAATAATATGAGAAAATAAGAAGTATTCATAGTAATTCCAGAAACAACTCGGTAGATTTCACTACATAAAATTTATTTTTTATAAAAAAATGTATAACACCGGCACCTACTTTTAAATCAATTAATTTATGAAACCATTTTCTTTTGTAGAATACACATTGGCATTGAGACAGATTAAAGAAATGTAATGGCTATCTACAAAAAATTAGTTTTGATTGTTATACCCCCCATACTTTATGTGTTTGCACACATAAAAGAAAATTATATTTTTCAAACATTTTATATTGCGCAATTTTTTAAAAAGTACACTGTTTTCCACGGCTATAGTCTTAAAAAGGACTTGACTTAAAGTTTCAAATAAAAAAGTTAAGGTACTAAGATAACTGCTGTGCTTTCAACAGCATCTTCCTGTAGAAGAGTCTGAGTCGGCATGCACACAACTTCTCTTGTTGTCAATGCCTGTGTTTAGGGAAAATTATACCCATTTTACAGGAAAATCCCAATACACATACTGTAATAAGCTCAAAACAACGTTAAAAAGACCAGTGAGAATGGCACACACAAGTCACTTCTTTATAAATAATTAACTGGAATTCCTGATCAGGAAGTGCACACAGGGTGGTCCAGTCCTCAGGGCTTTGCTCTCTGGAAGAACACCTGTAAAGGATGCGGCACAGTCAATGCCAACGTCAGAGACATCACCTCTCCACCTGGAGAAGGGCTCCAAGTTTCTGAATGCTGGTCATTCTTTTGTTTACAATAGATATTTAAAGTATTTCATACTCTTCTTAAACACATAAATCCAAGATAATAACTTTCTCTTTTGGAGAATTTTATAAAGTCTAGCTACAACTTATACTGGCATCACTCAACTGGAAAAGTAGTAAAAATATGGCATTATCTCTCATGCTCTGAGAGTCAAATGGTCAGAAGAAAACGTGCCCTTGACACCCTTTCACTGATTGGCACTGAGTCAAAATTAACACTGGAAAATTAAAACTTTAAGAAACTATTCAAAGCTAAATAAAGACAGCCGCTCTAATCCCCTAAGGAATTACTATTTTGATGATTTAAAAATATTCCCATCCAAGGCTGGGTGCAGTGGCTCACGCCTGTAGTCCTAGCACTCTGGGAGGCTGAGGCAGGTGGACTGCTTAAGCTCACAAGTTCAAGAGCTGTCAGAGCAAGAGCAAAACCTCCATCTCTAAAAAACAGCTAGGCTTTGTGGTGGTTGCCTGTAGTCCCAGCTACTTGGGAGGCTGAGGCAAGAGGATCACTTGAGCCCAGAGAGTCTGAGATTATTGTAAGCCATGGTGCCACAGCACTCTACCAGGGGCAAGAAAGTGAGACTGTCTCAAAAAAACAAAACAAACAACAACAAAAAAAACTATTCCCATTCAATATCTGAGATTACAATAAAGGAGCCAGCTAGAGGCTGTGCTGGCATGACCTGTGCTACACACACACTGCCATCCACAGCCAGGCACAGGCCAAGGAAGTGCTGGGCACAGTACAGGGCAGGCAGTGAGCTCGGTTAGGACAAAGACTCTACTTATCCTCGTCTCCCGAGCACCTAGGAGGTTCACTTAACAAATTATCTACCACCAAATGCAGAAAAAAGAATGATCACTCTATGAGCAAAAGAAAGCCTTCCAAGGAGGCCATGCTTAAGGCAAACCTGGACAAGTGGGCAGAATTCTTCCAGGAGGTGGGCTGCTAATGAGGCAGGATTTTTGAAGAACCCACAAGAATAGCAAAGAACATTCCTACAAGACCAGAGAGGCAGTCCAAGATCAGAATATGAAGAAAAAAAAAGTGCCAAAGTAAGAAACATGAACTTGTTTTTAGTAAATAAAAGGTTCAGGAAGGTTATGAGAAAGAAGAATAAATTTCAAAGGACTGTTTGATGTTTTCAGACTGACCAGCCTGGCTAGAGCAAGCACAGGGAGCTCAGAGGAAGCAGCATGAGCCATGTCAGAGCTGCAGCAGACACAGGAAGAGAGTGGAGGGGAGGCAGCAGGACCCCAGATCAATCAGGTGTGGAAGGAGGCAGGGACACGCAGAATAACGCTAACAGTGCTAACGAGACCACTAGCATAATGATACCACTGAGGATGTTTCTAAGTACACCAGTTTGGAACAAGCCTATAATATACCTTGGCCTACATTACAGACACCACTAAACATACTGTTAAGATTTTTTTGAGTCTTTTAATTCCAGTTTGATCAGTTATTTAAACAGAGATGACTTCCACAGTTACTTTGATTTTTACAGAGGAATGGGGGTTAGGAGGGCGCCTAATAAAAACAATCCTTAGTACCCTTCACAAAAACTCTTCAAGATATTTAAGACAACAAACTACAACTAGGAAAAAACCTGTGAGCGCCACAGCATAAGGACAGCACACTGAGTTGCTCTGTGAAGTCCTCTGACTTAGAAACTCCACTGATGTCTTGGGCAAAATACCAAGAGGTGTGCTAGGGCACCTGCCACCAAGAAATTAACACAATTCTTTGCCCTCAAATGTATTGAATGAAGATAATAGACGGCTCCTCATTCTGTGACTCTGTAACTTTGACTCCTGACCACGAGGTCCTCAGTGGTATCTGAAGCAGGTGCTGTAATACTCGGGAAATAGAAAGTGTGAAATGAATGACTGCCTAGGTGAGACCAGGACAGTTTTCTCTGGTGGATTTAACTGTAACTGTGTATACCAAATAAACATTTGACATTTCTTGTCAACCCACAGGGTTTAAGAAAAAACTGGGGTAGGAAAAGGGGTGGATGATGGGAGGTGATTCGTGGGCTAAATGTAGCTGCACCAGCGACACGTGTGTTGGGTGCAACGTGGCATCACTGTTGAAAACCACACTTGTTCTCCACGAATATATAAAAATCAAAAGTAAAAATTCCGACCCATTCTGAGAAATAGCTGAGGAAATCCTTCATATAGGAATTATTGAACCATGATTATTGCTTGAACTAGCGAAACTCTAAAAATTTAATACCAGTGTTTTGTAATATGTTTAATATCAATTAAACTAACAGGTGGGCCTCTTAATAGCTTACATCTGAGATGAAAAAATTTTTTTTTTTGTAGAGTCAGAGTCTCACTTTATCACCCTCAGTAGAGCACAGTGGCATCACAGCTTACAGCAACCTCCAACTCCTGGGTGTAGGCAATTCTCTTGCCTCAGGCACCCGCCACAATGCCCAGCTTTTTTTGTTGTCGCAATCTGGCTGGGGCTGGGGCCGGGCTCAAACCTGCCACCCTTGGTATATAGGTCTGGCGCCCCCAAGATGAAAACTTTTAACAGCAATATTTTAAATAAATAAAAATCAGTGATTTTACAAATGTAAAAAATGTAAAAAAAAGATTTTGTCATAGCCAGATCTGAGGATTTTTCTTTTTGTCTGTTTTACAGCTGAAATGTTTCAAAATAGTTACTTGCTTATGGAAATAACTCATACTTTTTTAACTCCTTTTTTTCAACAATATGGGCAATGGTCCTTAAACATGTCTCGTTCTTCCAATCCTCTACTTTCTATTTAATGATATCATAAAACTGTAAAAGAAAACTGACATTTTCATACCCATATACATGGTGGGGGGGGGTCACACACACTCAATGTGCCTGAAAAAGACGGTGAGGAGTCAGTTGAAAGGGGCTTCACAGAAACACCTCTAGCTGCAGTTTGTCAGAAGCGGCTTTCAGAGCACAGATCCCAAAGTAAGCGACAGCTGGTCAGACTGCAGTGGGTATGCACACACACGTATGTCTGCACGTATGCATGCTCTCTTGGCTTTCAAACATCACCTAATCAAAGGAAGATATAAATTCTCAAATACCTACCTTTAAGTAATTTTTAAAAACTTTCGCATCAGGTTGCTGAAGCGCTTGACAAAACTCCTGGGGGCCAGGAAGGGAGGGGAGAAAGAGGAGAACAAATGTATTTGTGTGAGATCTGTGTTACTTCACACGCACAGTTTTAACTGCAGTAAAAACATTTAGTATTTATCACCTTGATGACTACACAAGCAGTACAGGAGTGTTAACTACACATGCACTGTTGTACAGCAAATCTCAAGAACTTTTCCATCTTGCCAGACAGAAGCTCTCCACCTCCTGTCCGAGCAAGTCCTCGTTCCCGCCTCGCCCAGCTCCTGCAGTCACCATGCTACTTTCTGCTTCGAGTCTCACTACTTCAGATGCCTTAAGTAAGTGGAGTCACGCAGTATGTGTCTCTTCACAGCTGTCCTGCTTCACGCAGCATTATATCCTCAAAGCTCGTCTGTGCCGCACACGGAGCACCTGACTGCACTGCCTCCTAAGCTGAATCCACTCTGCTGGGCATAAAGGCTGCCCCCAGTGTCAAGCCATTAATATGAAAACAGCACGGACGGTGGCCAGATACTTTCTGGACAGTGCTGGACAAGCTATATCTTCTCTATCCAATCATGTGGTCCTCAGACATTATGGTTGCTTCAAATCCACAGTATTCTTATTATAACTTATCAAAATAAGCCCAAACAGCTCCTCCCCACAGAGGTTACATGGCAGTTTTAAGGGTACTACTTGTCACACAGGCTCTTTTGCTTTAGAGAATGCAGCTCCCCCAGACAGGGTGCACTCGAGTCTGAGGAGGGTGACGGACACAAG